ATCACTGATAGCTAACAAGAGGAGTGGGCATCTGCAGTATTGCTAAAACCAAGGGTCCCTGACCCCAATCTGCCTCACAGAGCACACTTCTCATGTCACAAAGCAAGTCATTCCCACTGAGCCCAGCTGCACTTAATGTGAATTCTTTATTGCAAAACTTGGAAGGTAAGAACTTTTCCCAGACATCTGTGGAATTAGTATTAATGAGAATGCCCTGAAGTTCATATACACGCCTATGCAGCAGACACTTCTCAGCCAAGGAACTGCTGGACACACTTCTTGATGAGATGTCTAAGCCTGAAGGCATCAAAAAAGTACATTTCCATATTGGGAACATAACTGGCTTCCTCTTTAAGACTTTTTCCACCACCTCCTGTCCACACTGTAATTCTCCTGTCTTCTTAAATGAATAGTTAACATATTTCAAGCATATAAGGCATATACTGAGGCACTCACTGCCTAACTCTATTACTAGTAGAACCAATCACAGCAGAAAATTGGAATCTTCCCACCAAGCTGCCCCAAAAATGAAATTCAGGAAGCATCCCAAAAATATGAAAATACTTTTAATAAACATTTTTCTTGACATTACATATTTTCCTTGCTTACCTTAATCTCTTAATTCCAGGAAAAGAAACAACCAGAATTCTTATGGCTCAAGTCCTTCATTTTACAGGTGGATAAAAAAAAATGATATACAGAGAGGGGAAGTGACTTGTCCTGAGTCACCCAGATAAGTAACGATAAAGGGAGGATTAAAACTCAAATCTCTCAGATTTTCAGCCCCGATTCATTCTCCTACATCAAGCTTTTTTTATCCCTTGAAATCTCTAGAGCTCTTGGCCTAAATAATTAGTATCACAGAATTTAAAGTCAGAAGGGAGCTCAGAGAGACTTACTTAATCCCTTCATTAGGCATATGAGGAAACTGAGGCCCAGAAAGATTAAGTGATTTGCTCTCCATATCTTGGATGGCAGGGAATAAGTATAACTTAAGCTCAAAAAACTGCAAACTAACGGCTATGAGAAGGGAGGAGAATCTCAGCTGAGAAAAATTTTAAAAGGAATGTAGATCATTCTAGACCAGGGACCGGTTTCAAAATGTAATCCCTGGACCCTCTGCTTCAGCATCACCTGGGATCTTGTTAGAAATGCAAATTCTGGGGTGCCTGGGTGGTTCAGTCAGTTGGGTGTCTGACTTAGGCTCAGGTCACGATCTCATGATTTTTGGGTTCAAGCCCCACGTCAGGCTCTGCGTTGACAGCTCCGAGTCTACAGCCTACTTCGGATTCTGCATCTTCCTCTTTCTCTCCGCTCATGTTCTCTCTCTCAAAAATAGATAAACATTAAAAAAATTTAAAAAAAAAAAAGAAAAGAAATGCAAATTCTAAGGTCCCACAGGAGGCACTGAATCAAACTCTAGGGGTGGGGATGTTCAAATCAAACACCATGTCCCTGAGAAACAAACTTCAGTGGTCACATTGAGTCCACTTTGTAAATCATAACTATCATCAACGGCATTTAAATTTTTCTATACTACATTTTTCTATATGTATATCATACTTCAATTTTTAAAGTTTTTAAAACTCTGAAGACAAAATGGAAAACTAGATTTGGGTATTCATTTGGTTCTAGTTCTGGCTTTGCTTCTTACCGACTGTCTTTGAGCAGGTAACTGACCTCCCTTGCTTGAGTTTTCTTTTCTATAAAATAGGCATACCACCCCCCTCAAAAGGCATGTCGAGAATTAAATGTAAGAACTCATCGGGAAGCACTTTAGTTCAGCATCAGGCACAGAGTAGGCAGCAGTCCAGCACAGTCATTAAGAGCTTCAGCTATGAGGTAGGTGCTTTTTTGCGCCTCAGTTCCCTCGTCTGTACAACCAAGGTTAAAAACAGTACCTTCTTCGTAGGGTTGTTATAAAGACTTTGAGAGATCACACAGGTAAGTAATGCATCTTGCATATCTATAAAATGTTACTGTTTTTGAAGAGCTTTTGCATCCATTAATTCAAATGATCCTCACGCATTGCCACAAGAGGATGGGTGCATTCGATTGATTATGGACTAGATTCCAGACTGTACCATCTTTTAGGAACAGGAGGAGTGCACATCAATCTTACAGAAAGGAAACGGCACGCATGAATAGTGCATGTGGGGAATGAACGGGGTTGAAAATAAGATCAGGATTCTGGTTTCAACTCTGCCACCCCCTTAGCCCACAACCTCAGGGAAGTGCTTTACCAGAATGGGGTTCGCTTTCTATATGTAAACAAGTGGCGTGCATTAGGTTATTTATAACATGTCTCCAAATAAAATTCCAACTCCTTGTCATGGCCTATAGGAAGGCCTACATAGTCTGTCGTCTGCCTACATCTCTTATCCATCACCTGCCATTCTCCTGTTCACCCATGTTCCAGCTACATCGGTCCTCTTCCTGGTCTTCTAACAGGCAACACCAGCTTCTACCTTATAGTCCCCATACCTGCCCTTCCTTCTGCCTTGATCATTCTGCCCTTTTCCATGATTGGCTCCTTCTCAACCTTCAGTCCTTTTAACATCCATTCCTCAAGGTCCTTCCCAGACCATATTACCAAAGGTAACCGGTCCTGTCTCCTACTGCCAGGGGCTATTTTCTTTAGCAGCACTGTCTAATAAAAACATACTGAAAGCCACAAATGAGCCACATATATAACTTTAAATCTTCTAGTAGTCACATTTAAAAAGTTTTCAAAAGGTAACATTAATTTTAATAATATATTTTCTTTAAGCCTATATATCTAAAGTATTATATCTCAATATGGAATCAATATAAAAAGTATTAATATATATTAATTTGTTCATACTAAATCTTGGAAATCCAATGTGTACTTTACATATACAGCAGATCTCAATTCCAACTTTACACATACAGATCTCAATTCCAACACATTTCAAGTGTTCAGTAGTCACAGGTGCCCAGTGACAGGTGACCACACCAAACAGCACGGTTCTACCACATACCCTGCTTACCCTTCAAAGCACCTATCACAATCTGAATGTTTATTGACCCATTATCTTGCTACTTCCCTACCAGACTACAGGCTCCACAAAAGCAAGAACCTTGTCTGTTTCCTTTAATGCCTTATAGTCAGAGAATTTGGTGCATTATACAGTAGGCATTCAATACATGTTTCTTTTTTTTTTTTTTTAATTTTTTTTTTCAACATTTATTTATTTTTGGGACAGAGAGAGACAGAGCATGAACGGGGGAGGGGCAGAGAGAGAGGGAGACACAGAATCCGAAACAGGCTCCAGGCTCTGAGCTGTCAGCCCAGAGCCCGACGCGGGGCTCGAACTCACGGACCGCGAGATCGTGACCTGGCTGAAGTCGGACGCTTAACCGACTGCGCCACCCAGGCGCCCCTCAATACATGTTTCTTGAGCAAATGAATGAACCTCTTCTAGCTTTAATATTCTGAGTCAATGGACTAGCCATTCTACAACTCTCAAAGAGACAACCCTCCCATTTCCTTTCTTCTTTCTGGTTCAATAACTGTCTTAAAGAGATAAATCTCTTGGCTATTTATCTCCCATTGCTTATGAGCTCTTTTCTACGATGTCTACAGTCTTCAAGGTCCATTCTTTGTATATTGGCTGAGGGAGTGGCGTGAATATGATGGCTAACATTTCCTGAACCTTCACACTTTGACAAGCATTGGCCTAAGCACTTTGCAACAGGCTTATGTGGTAGGTACCATCTTTGCCCCCATTTACAAATAAGGAAAACAAGGCATAGAGAGATTAAGTATTTTGTTCAAGGTTACAGCTGCCAGTTAGTAGCAAAACAGACTCCAAGAGACATGCGGCTCCAGACTCATGGCTCTTAATCACCTGTTCTCTACTACAGAGCTGTCCGATGGGAATAAAGACCAGTTATATATGTAAATTTTAATTTTAAAAGGCTAGTAGCTACATAAAAAAAAATCAACAGAAACAGGTAAAATTTATCTTAAATACAATTTTATGTCACCGATTACGCATATGATTAATCAACATAATCAATAATCAAGGTAATTGATTTGATCAATAAGATCATAGGATCGGTTTAAAAATGTTATTTCTCATATGAATCTTCAAAATTCAGTGTGACTTTACACCTAGAGTACTTTTCAATTCATACTAGCTCCGTTTCAAGTGTTTAATAGCCATATGAACAACTACAAGGGACCTCTTTAGAAAGTCAAAGAGGGGGAAACCTTTGAACTGGGAGCCAGGAGACCTTAGCTCTAATACCAGCTCTTACGTGTTGAGTGACTCTGGCTAAGTCCTTTCTGCCCTCTGGGCCACCGTCTCCCACTAAGTCGCCTGAGCAGGGAAAACAAGATCCCTAGAGTCCCATCCCATGCTAGAATTCCAAACATCTCCCAACAACAGCAGTTAACACAGGTACAGCTTTTACACTTTAAAACCAGCTTTCACACCCAATAGTTAACATACTCCTCAAACAACCCTACTAGGAAGTTATTACTGTCTCCGTTTTATATATACAAAAACTAACGCTCCAAGAGGGCAAAACGACTTGTCCAAAACCCACAGGGCCAGTCAGTGGAGAAGCCGGGGCTCAAACGCAGGAAAGACCAGGGCCCTCCCACCACCACCACCAACTCAAGGACGGCGGACAAGAGAGAGTTGAAGGAAGATGGTTGTGAAGATGGTCCGGGGCCTTCAGAAGAGTTGAAGGGAGCCAGGCCCCGGAGCAGGGGAGGGTGAGAAGAGGCCCAGACTGGAGTTGAGAGGGAGGGGCCTGGGCTCTAAGAAGGAATGAACTGAAAGCGCCCAGGAAAGTCTCGGGGGAGTAAAGTGAAAAGAGTAGCCGGTGGCATGAGAAGTGAGGGGACTCGGGCCGGGGACAGAGGTGAGAGGAGGTGAGGAGGTGAGATAAAGGGGCTCTGGTTCCCCGACCACGCGACCGCTTCCCGGGTGAGGGGACGGCCCGCCGGCCCTCCTCGTCCCACATACCTGGTAGCTCAGAAGTTCGCCCACGTCCATGGTTTCAGGCCCCGCCAACACCTGCTACTCGGGTTCTCTCCACTCACGCCCAAAACGCGGCCCCCCTCCGCAGGGGCTCCAGCCACACAGCCGTAAAGCGCCGAGAGCGGGCCGCAGAGCCAATGAGCTGAAAGTTCTTGTGGCACGCAACCTGGCCACACTGCGGGAAAAGGCAACGCCACCGTAAAGCGCGCTGCATTTGCGACGGTACCGCTTCCGCCCGGAGCCTGGAGGGGGCGGGGAAAGGAGGCGGAGACTTGAAGGGGGCGGGGCGGTGAGGGAAAAGACGGAAAGGAGCCAAGATTTATTGGGCGCCGCCTATGTGCAGGGCGGAGTGCTGAGTGTTTCACAGGTGCTCTCCTTCCAGTGACCTAGCCAATTTTATCCCCGTTTCACAGATCAGGAAACTGAGGCATAGAACTGCACTATCCAGTTCTATACCCGCTAACCACATGTGGCTACCGAGGGCTTGAAATACACTAGTCTGAATTGAAATGTGCCATAAATGTAAATAAAATACACACTGGATTTCTAAGACATATTGGTTACATGTTGAAATTATATTTTGAATATATTGGGTCAAATAAAATATAAAATTAATTTACCCGTTTCTTTTCACGTCTTAACCGTGGTTAGTAGAAAATGTAAATTACCTACGTGGCTCTTTTTTTGGCTCCCTTTGTATTTTTTAGGACAGTGCTGGCTCAAAGTGTATTGCCCAATGCCTCCAACTATTACTGACAAGGAAACTGTTGGTGATCACATCTCCCTCTCCGGGCTTCTTCTTCATCTATGCCAGGTTTTCTGGGAACTGGATGATCTTGTTTCTACCTGAGAGATGTAGAAAAGTTTTCTGTGGGAGGAAGATGGCCATGATTGGAAGAGAATCTTCAAAGAGTGCATCTGAGCTCCTGGGATTTAAATAAGGCTCTATCTTCAAAGGGTGTTAAACTTCCCTCTTAGTCTTCTTAGCAATTTAGCCCCTGATCTTCACATCCGTGGTATTTGTCTTAGTCCATTCAGGCTGCTGTGAGAAAAATAGCATACACTGGGTGGCTTACAAACAACAGAAATTTATTTCTTCACAGTTCTGGGGCTGGGAAATCCAAGATCAATAAACCAACAGATTCGTTGTCTGGTGAGGCTACAATGTGGTTCATAGACGGTGCTTTCTTATTATGTCCTCACATGGAGGAAAGGGGTGAGGAAGCTTTCTCCCGCCTCTTTTATAAAAGCACTAATCTCGTGCATGAAGGCTCCACCCTTGTGATCTAATCACCTCCTGAAATCCTCACTTCCTAATACCGTCACCTCGAAGGTTAGGATTTCAATTTATGGATTTGGGTGGGATACAAACATTCAGACCACAGCAATATTCTTAACCATCCTCCCCATCCCATCTCCGCTTGTCTCCAATTATACAGAAGTTATTTTAATGTAACTTTTCAGAGCTCCAAATCGTCTCCTCTTCTGCCTGGCCACCAGCCCCATACCTCATCCAACTCTTCCTCATCCTTCAGGTCTCAAAGGGCACTTTCTTAGAGTAGCCTTCCTCAACTCACGTCCAGTTCAAGGAGGCAGTCCCTTCTCATTCCTCATTATTCTGTTTTCTAGCACCTCCTGTATGGCACATATATCTCCATCTGTAAGTTTCTACTTAATGGTTGATTGCTTATTTATTGGCAGCCTTATTTGCTGGACACAGGCTCCATGAGAGCAGGAATTGTGTCTGTCGTGTTCACCATTATACCCTGGTACAAAAAGCCTCATACAGTGCCTGACACAGGAGGAGGTTTCATGGGCCATGGTAAGGAGACTGAGTTTTACGCTAAGAGCATTAGGAATCAATTGAAAAGCTTTAAGCAGGAAAGTTTTGTGATTGGGTTTGTGTGTGTGTGTGTTTGTTTTTTAAGAATCACCTATGCAACCTGCTTTGAACTGAATTATTTAGGTGTCTCTCCCCGCCTCCCTCCACTTAGCTGTATGGACTTGGCCTTATTCAAGGAGGGAAGGTGAGTAATGGTGGAACGTACCCTTTGGAACTGTGTACCCTTTGGAATTATGTCCCAGTATTTGGTGTGCTGGAGTCAGCTCATATAAACAGGACAACAAGAGCCTATAGTTAAATTGTCAGGAAATTTTCAAGGTGATTGACATCAGGTTGGTTGCTTGAGATTGGTCACAGTGGGAGTATTTACACCATGGAAATCAACAAATGCTACAAACAAATGCTACAGGGTTATTGATGTTTCAGAGAGTTGGTTGTTACACATTCACCGACACACCACTGATTGTGGTTCTCCTCAAAGTTCCACCACATCTACCTGTGTGCTCTGCGTGTGAGTTACTTTCTCTCTCTAAATTGTGCTCTCTTCCTCTGTAAGGTGACTCATTTGGTCATTCATCAAGTATTTGCTGAGTGCCTACTCAATGCCCGACACAATTCCAGGCTCTGAGGATAAAGACGTTTGTACGAAAAAAAGTCCGCCCTCTTGGAACCCACATGCTAATTGGAGAAAACCTAATGAGGAATATAACATTATGATCCTCATTTCACAGCTGTGGAAACATCGTCAGCCAGCTGACTTCACCTCTACGTGCCTGATCCCCTTGCCTGCAAAGTGGAGATTCAGTCGAATTTACCTTGTAAGATTATGGGGAATTTACATAAGATGCTGCATGCAAAGAGCACTTAGCAGGTGCCTGGCACAGAAAAGTACTCCATCAATGTTTGGTGTTAATATTATGTGGAGTTAAATGGGAATTGGAGGGGCAGAGAGGCAGGAAAAATGAGATCATTCCTATACCCTTTCTTTTGCAGACATCCCATCTTGTCTGTGTGTTTTTGGAGACCCGGCCTTAAAACACAGAGTCATAAGGCAAAACCCTATGAGAACCAGATTTGGTGAACACCCTGCAATGGGTTTCCCAGAGAAGGTGCCATTTAGATTGGGGCTTAAAGGATGAGAGGAGTTGACCAAGAAGATATGATGGGAGACTGGTGACCCAGGCAGAGGAGGCAGCATGAGCAAAGACATAGAAGTTGAAACATTTCTTATAGACAAAGCATAGGATGTACGGAGGGAAAAAGTGGGAAGTAAGTCAGGAGAGGGTGTCTGGGGAAGATCGTGGATAAGGTTGCCAAATTTAGTGCATACAAATATAAGACACTCAGTTAAATTTGCATTTCAGCTAAACAATGAAATTTTTTAGTATGAATATGTTCCATGCAATATTTAGCAACATACTAAAAAGTTTTTGTTGCTTCTCTGAAATTAAAATTTAACTGGGCATCCTTTATCTTGATTTGAAGGTCCATTAATAGTTTCTTGGGTATCTCCAGGGGATGGGGCTTGGGAGGCTCACCCTTCAGGTCTCAGCTTAATGTCACTGCATCAGAGGAGTCTCCTCTGACTTACGAGATCTAAGACAGTTGCTCAGATTCTCTATCAGCCTTCCTCGCCATTATCTTCAGGACACTTCTGATTGGTGCTTCTATATTTATTTGCTTGTCCTTCATTTGGAGCCTGTTTTCTCTTCCATATTCTAAGTTCCAGAAGGCCAGAGATTACTGTATTATTCACCACAATAACGTCAGAACCTTACACAATTCCTAGCGTTTAATTGGCACTTGCTAACTAGTGGTTGGTTTAATAAATGAGCCAATCAACCCACAGATTGACTCATTCCCAGCAACAATACTAACAAATACCTTCAAATCTCTACCCCCCAATCCTAATGCTACGGTCTCCCAATTTTCAAGATGTAAAATGGAAGTTCAGAAGAACTATGTGAAATAAGTCAAACAGAAAAAGATAAATATGATGTCACTTATATGTGGAATCTAAAAAACAAAACAAAAAACAACAACAAAATAGACTCATGGATATAGAGAACAGATTGGTAGTTGCCTGAAGTGGGGGAGTGGGGGGGTCAGAGAAATGGATAAAGGGTGACCTCTTCCAGGTTTATAATTTCTGGTTATAAAACGAATGTCGTGGGGATGTAACACATAGCATGGTGACTGTTGTTAATACTGTACTGCATATTTGCAAATAACCAGGAGAGTGGATCTTGAAAGTTTTCATCACAAGAAAAAAAAATGTTACAACTATGTATGATGACGGCTGTCAACTATACTTAATGTGGTGATCATTTTGCAATATATACAAATATAAAATCATTACATAGTGTCCTTGAAACTAATGTAATGTTATGTCAAGTATACCTTAGAAAAAAACAAAAGGGGCTACGGGCTATGCACCAAGCAGTCCAAAAGCATGTGGTGGTGGTGATGATGATGGTGATTTCAGAGTGGCATCCACAGAGATGGGTGGGGGAAGGGCACCACCCAAGAGACCAACTGCTGAGCTGTAATCTTTTTAAAAAATTTAACTTGGAAGAATGATCTCTTCCAGAAAGTTTTTAAATAGCTGTGGGCTGCCTAGCTTCCTTAAACTTCAAGCTTTAGGTATTCCAAGAAGTAATCAGAGTCGCTTCCTCCATTTCATTGCCTCAGTAAATTATTTATTGGAACAGCCTTTAAGAAAATATCCTCAAAAAACACTCATAAAAGTATATTTATCACCAATATGGAGCTCCTACCCTGCAATTGTGGGCTGATTGGAAACATATAACAGTGCCTGACTCCTCTATTTAGGCACTGAATGAGTGGGAAAGAGTTACAGGGTAGGCGGTGGAAAGGGGGTTGTGCTTTCTGGGGAGCTGAATACACTTGCTGGGGTTCAGGAGAAATCCCTGTTCTCTCTGCCTCTCATTCCCCAAATCCAGGTCCTTGGATCCTCTCCACTCTACTATTTTTAAATAGTTTTAGAAACGGAAACGTAGAGAGTTTAGTTGCTGGCCCACAGTCATAGAGTTATTAACTGGCAATACTCCAAACCAAGCTTGTCTGACTATGCATTTCACAGTAGGGATTTGGGCTCAGTTAACCTTTCAAATGGTACTGACACTTATGATCCAGGCACAGATGATTACTGAATGCTAAAGAGTAATTATCTCTCCCAGCAGATCTTGGTCTCGATTAGACACAAGAATTTATATCCTTCCATATACTGTAA